TGAACATTTTAGGCATTAGGTATATTCATCATTTAATATTTGTTCTACATATTTTCCAAGCTCATTGACTTTGTGTGTGTGTGTGTTTTAGTGTTGTATGCTTTTGTATATAGAAATCTATATTTTTTTTAAGTAGCTAAATCTGTACAATTTTTATAGCTTTGATTTGCTTTTAAGTTCAGAATGTCCTTTCTCATTCATAAATCAGATTTTTTTTTTTTTACTTTTTTCTGTTTGTTTTTGAATCTATGTGCAATTTATTTTGGTTTGTGGAATGCAAAGAGGACCTAAAATAGTTTGGGTTTTCTTTTTTTCTCTTTTCCAGCTAGCTTGTCAACTGCTCCAGTTACTTAATAAGAAACCCTTTATAGGCTCAAACCAAATGTCTCCTCTACAGAGCGGTCTTCCCTGACTCTCAGATCTAGAATCAGCACTTTTTCCTTCCACTTTCTCCCCCTGACTTCCCCCTGTTTCTTTCCCAAAGCTTTTCAAACATGTAATTATCTTTCTTAATTATGTTTGGTGTCTGTCTTCCCAAGTAAAGTGCAAGCTAATAGGGAGATATCTGGTTGTTCCCTAACACCTCTGATTCTCCAGGGTCCTCACTCCAGAATCACCCAAAATGCATTATCAGTAGTGTCCTAAGACAAAACTGTAGCCGGAGGGTGGGGAAATTTCTTCAGAATTGCAGGAGAGAGTGCTGGGGCCAGAGAACCCATGCTAGCCTCTAGTGCTATTTTGGGCCCTGTGAATCTCAGCGTCCCATAAACTGGATGGGGGAGATCTGCCCCCCCAAAAAACAAAGGAGGATGGGTTCCTCAATTTATAGTCATTTGTTCATTTTTAAGGATTTTTTTTCCCTACCTCTAAATATTTTGTAACCTTTATTCTCAGCTGGGTCATCTGCTAGTAAAAGCTAATCAGCAACAAAACAATCAAACAAATAGCAAGTTAATATTAATGGACTCATTAAACAATGGCTTATCGTGTCATGCCTGGCCTCATGCCTCTGAGTTTAAATTGCCATCTCATGGTGTATCCCCATTTCTTCTGGGAAAGCTGTTTTTATTTACATATAAGAATTAAGCAAATCTGAACATTGCAGTGTTCCATGACAAGCTGGGTGGTGCAGATGACCACCTACAGAGAACACTGTGAACCCCAGGAGCTGCCACTGGCCAAACACATCCAAGAGACACCCAGTTGTGAAAAACTAGAGCTTAGACGCTTATTTTTGCCAAAGGAAATACGACACGTTTCCCTTTCTTCTTCCCTTTTTATTTTTGTGAGAACCCCACCCAAACCAGGAACATGCTAATCTTGAATGTGTTCAGCCAGCAAGTTTTTAGCCAGGGCTGGTGGCCTCCTGTGATGAACACACACCCTTACCCTGCACCCTGTCAGGTTTGGTGGTTCTGGCTTTCTTCTGCTTGGATTTTCTTTTCTGGACTTCTCACTCCATTCATGCCATGCACTGACCCGCCATCTCTACGTTACTCCCGCTTCCATTCCCTTTTGCCCCCTGGAATCATCTTCTTCATCACACAGCAGACACGTGGTACTTAGCACGTGCTGGGCACTGATCCATCTATGCTGCTCTGAACTCATTTCAGCCTCACAACAGCCCCATGGGGAATGTGACGGCCAATGCATGACAGAGCAGCATGTGATGGAACTTGCCCAAGGCCACATGACTAGTGAGGAACAGGACAGAGACAACCTAGGTGGTGGTGGTCACCACTGCCTGTTGCTACCCAGGCCTCATTCTGGAGTCATCACCTACACATATCCAATAGGACAGCTTCCTGGAGTTGAGCTCTGTAAAGTAACTCCAGTGCTCTGTCCCCCTAGGTTCTCACCCAGGCTGTGTGGTCCTGGGCTCAACCTCTCTGAGCTTCAGTTTCCTCTCTATAATAAGAATAATTTGAGCAACACTTACTAGGTCATGTTCCAAGTGTTGTGCATGAATTACCTCATTTAATTTCCATAACATCTATAAAATAAATTCTGTAATTATACCCATTTTACAGATCAGAAAACTAGGCACAGAGATGGCATGTAACTAAGGTCACCACAGCTGGTAAATGGAAGAGCTGGGATTTGAACCCAGAAGACAAAACTTCAAAGCATGTGTTGTGAATCATTATTCCACTCCCCTATATCAAGTGAGAACAAGAAGAATAGCAGCTACATTTGGTTGCTCTAAAGATTAAATAGATAATGCTGGTGAAGGGCCAGGCCTTAAATAGGCAGATGCTCAGGAAGAAGCAGGCTCTTATTCTTACAGTGAAGACAACTAGGCAGCCTGATAGGCTCCAATATCCATCAACAGTATGAGCATGGGCTGGTTACTGACCCTCACTAGGCCTACTTTTTCCTCAAGGAAATGGAGATGAAAACAGGCAATCTACCTTCCAACCTTGTTGCAAGAAATTAAGAATACCTGCAAAGTGCTTGGTGCAGGGTCCGGCACATAATAAATGCTCAAGAAATGTTGAGGTCTGTTTTCAACTATTAACAAGACTTCAACAAAATTGGATTCCTTCTCAGTTCCTTCCCACTGGCTGAAGAGACTCTCAAAGCAAGCTCTCTCCTCTGCTTCCCGTGGCTTCTGAAATTGTTCACAAAATGAAAAGCCAAAAGGGGAATTTATAACTGACAAGACCCTAAGGACTCCCCTGTTGTTTTTTCTTTTGAGCTTCCATGCTTTCAAACAACAAAATACAAATCCCAGATTGGACTCCGAGGCCTTGGTAGCAACTCCCTGGGTGGTGCCAGGGCAGGGGAAGAGGCTGTTGCTCCCACCTCAGCCATCACCATATCTAGTGTCAAATGGTCCCAGAGTACCCAACTCCTGAAGCCACAAGCTTGGATGAAGTACCTGAGGGAGAGAGGACCTTGTAGAAAATTTACATTTAGCAAGGCACAGTGGCACATGCCTGTAATCCCAGTGGCTTGGGAGGCTGAGGCAGGAGGATCATGAGTTCAAAGCCAGCTTGAGCAATTTAGTGAGGCCCTAACACAACTTAGAGAGACTGTGTCTCTAAATTATATATATATATATAAAAGGGTTGGGGATGTGGCTCGGTGGTTAAGCTCAACTGGGTTCAATCCCAGGCACAAAAAAGAAAACTTGCATTTAGAAACTGAGAAAGAAAAAAATAAAAAATAACCCAGAGGCAAAGAATCAGGACAGAGAAGTACATACAGAGGCCCTGGTGCAGCAAAAGAATTGTACTTTACTATGACAATTATGGTGGCAAAATGTTAATAGCCTTTACATAGAAAGGGCTCAGACTGACAAATGAAAACTAAAACCAGAAATTATTATTATTATTATTATTTTTTTAGTGGTGCTCTGGATGAAATCCAGGGCCACACATACTCAAAATGATTTTTTAAAGCAAAAGAACTAATAGCACTTCACAAAAGAAGAAATATAGATGATCATTTCTTGAAAATATTGAACTTTACTAATTCTGAAAAAAAATAATAACAATGAATCATCATCTGTCGCTATCTAAGACTAAAGATATGCAATTCTAGGGAGCAAGCATTCTTGGGCACAGTAGTTGCAGTTCTCAGGAGGCTGAGGCAGGAGGATGATTTGAGCCCAAGAGTTCAAAGCCAGCCTGGGGCAACACAGTGACACCCTGTATAGGGGGCGGGGATGTGGACTTGGACAGGACAGGATGGAACTGGGAGAAAAATAGAGATAAGCACTCTCTTACACCGCTGATAGAAGGATAAACTGATTCACATACATACTCACTGTAACTTTATTTAAAATATATAAAATAATGTTACAAAATACAATTTAGAAACACTTTAACCTCTGAAATGGCTATATGAAGCCCTTAAAGGTATCACATAGGAAATATTTCTAGTGATATAGGGAAACGTTTATTCTACAATGAAGTTCACAAAGTGGAACGTGAACATATATTTATGTGATCCTAGCGTATAATACAACATTACAGAGCACTAAGAGTGGGTATTTCTATGACCTGGAGTCATAGAAATTGATTTTTCGTCTTTTATCTACACTTTCATTTATTTTCTAGTTTTCTGCAATTGGCACACACTATTTTCTTATAAACAGGAAAAAGCTCATCTAAAAATGGCCACAGTGACTCAGCAGTCTACCCTTTTGCCCTTTGAAGGAAGCACTGGCTGGTCATTAAAAAACTCATTGTCAGGAGAACATGATTACCAGGATTGTTATAAAACAAAAAGAACAGGGCAGACTTTGGGGCTGGGAGAACAGTGTCACGGGTTTCCAACCACATATCCAGACACTGTCATGTGAAATGTTTAGGAAAAGCCAGGACTAGACTCTGACCTCTCCGTCCCAGCTTCCTAAAGTCTGTACGTGTTTCCAACAGGAAGCACAATCAGACATCTTGGCACTGTGCTGGGAATGTGCAGAACATGAAGATGGCCCCTCACTCAAGAAGCTCCACTGTGTGGTTACGATGTGGACATAACACATGTAAGTGAAATAACCCAAAGATACCAAGCACATTTTCATTCATTAATTTAAAAAAAAAAAAAAAGAAATTCTCTGTATGCTGACATCAGTCCAGGAAAGCTCAGGAATCACTGAAGGTTTTAATCAGGTAGAAAGTCAGAAAGTCAGGTGGGATGTTGGGGGTTGGGGGGAGGCTGAGCATGGGCTAAGAATGGACTCAGCCTGAGCAGATGCTGGACCATGCAAAGCTAGAGTGGAGGAAAAAGGAGCTGGGCCTCAGTGGAAGACTGAAAGTTCAAGTCCTAAGTGGAGCCAGATGGTGGAGAGCCTTAAGCACTAGACACGGGAGCTGGGCCTGTCTGTATATATGAAGAGTTGAGGAGGAGAAGGAAACCACCTCCTCCACAGGCCTGGGCCTGCACTTCTGGGCTCCAGTTTTGTTTTGTTTCACTCTCCATCAAAAACCTCTAAGTGTCAGTTGAAAAAAAAAAAAATGAGGAAGTTAAAAACAAAGGCTCCAGGCTCTGTCTTCAAGTCAAAATGTTTAATAGTAATGATTTTTGGAAGCCAGTTGAATCAGGATTCAAACAGGAGAAATGGGAGGAAGCATTCAAACACAGTATCCTCTCTCCCATCCTGCTTCGTTCCAGGGCAATGCAGGCAAATTTCTGTAGCATGGTAGTGTAAATCAAGGTCCCCACTCTCGAAATCCATCCCACTTCCCAAAATACCAAATCCCATTAGAAACATAGGCTTTTACTAAAGTTGTCAAATATTCAAAACCATGCAAAATACATTGGGAATTTTCTCAAACCAAGGGCTGGACTGGTTAAACTTTTCATCATACCATTGGAGAACAGTTGGATTCAGTCACCTTTTAGAGTGTTGATGAACAAGCAGCAATGCTCCAAGAATCTCCAACTACATTCAAAGGGGGGCCTTCTGCCCCTTGAGTTTCCAGAGACTTTAAACAATAAGGTACTGCAGAGGGGCAGCTGCTGAGGCTTGAGCTGAGATGGTCCCTCATACTTTGTTTCCGAGTGTCACTGCCATCTCTGTCTGGAGGGAAGGAAAGCACAAGCAGGAGCAGAGCAGGCTACTCAGTGTTGCCAGGGGCCTGGTGGAGGCAGCACAGATTCAGGTGCTCAATGTCCTAACAAGGGCTTGCTCAGCACCAGGTCTCTGTCAAAGGATCTCTGATGAATCCCTGTTCTCATTTCTGGCCTTCATTTGGGTCCTTTGAATGGAACTGCCTTCTCTCCAAGCCTGACCCATGCTCTTTGTTCCACTTGGTCCCTTTCTGTTTTTGCAGAACAAATTCAGCATATAGAATCAGACAGCTGAGGGAAAGGAGGGCTGCTCCCCAGGGGGTCCCCTGAGGAGCTGAGCCCCAGGGTCTCTGGGTTCCTCCCCAGGTCACCAATGGCTGCCACACACTTCACAGCTGGATCCCACCTGGCATTGCTGGCCAAGGCTCACAGGGCACCACTTGGTACTCTGGCTCCAGTGCATGCATCTCACAAATTTGCAGCTAGGCGTCCCTTATATCCCCTGACGTAAATGGCTGGTTTATTCACATGGAAAATGCACACAGATGAAGCCCCAGTGTGCAGACTATACTGTTTTACAGGCCAATTTGAAAAACACTCTTCTGAGTAAAAAAAGTAGTAAATTTTTAAAAATAATGAGGAGTGTAATGAAATGGGCATTTACATACATCTAGAAAGACCACAATTAGCAAGTTTTCTATAGGTCAGTTTGGCAAGATGCCCTAGGATCGCTATGATAAGCTACCTTGACCCTGTGATGGCTCTTCTAGATATCTAACCCAGGAAAAAGTCAGATTCCAAGCAAGATTCCTATAAGCTTCTTCACTATCACAAAGGTGAAAAATGGAAACAACTTGTCAATTGCTAGTGTAAAGGATAAATCTACGACATGGACTATTTAGTGAAAAGAGTGTCATGTGCAACACAATGGTTATTGTAAAATACATCAGCATATGGGAAATGTTAGTGAAATATTAACAGTGGTTCTATGTATATGGTGGGATAAAAGGGCTTTTTAAAAAACATTTTCTAAATTTCCTAGAACTAGTATATATTACTGTTGTTTTCAGGAAATTAAAAAAAAAAACTATAGATGTTTTAAAAGTAATGAGTGCTGGGATGAGATTTCATCACCGGGTGACATCATGTATGTCCCAATAATGAGTTCCCAAAGCAGGGCAGATGACATTACAGAGAGAGTCTGGCAGCGATCCTCAGCCCAGGCTCATATCCTAGGAAGCTGCAGAGCTTTGAAGATACACCAGTGCCCACCTCATATCCAGAAGTCTAGATTCGATTGAGGTGTGGCTTTTATAGCTCTCCAGGTGGGTATCTCTGTAGCTGTGGTGAGAGCCATGTCTCCATGGGTCTTCCATACCTTCCTTCACCTTCAGGACCCTGCTGACAGTGAGCCTTGTCCTCCACCTTGTCAATACCCACCCTCTATAAGGATGTGAGAAATTCCCCCAAGAATGCTTTCTATGGCTTCTGGCTTTTAGGCTGAGCAAATCCTTTAACCCAAAAGCACTTCAGTGGGGACTCTTCAGGTCTTCACAGCTGCCTAGGAGGGACTCTTCCTCCTGACCTCAAATCCAAGGGGCAGCTGATGTCTTGTGAGTGGGTCCTGGCTGTAGGTTACCTGGGACTTGCTGTCCTGGTAGGTGGGTTAGAATAAGTTTGCCAGGGGGAGGTCAGGAGCTTGAGAAGATGCAGGGCGTGAGCAGAGAGGGAGAGCTGGACACTCACTGGTGTGACTTTCCCTCAGGTCCCCTGAAAAGGGCAGGAGAGATGGCCATCCCCAGGCCACTGTGGGGCAACCATCTATCCTTCGTGGGCATCATGATCCTGACAGTTGTGGTCATCTCCCTGCTGTTCTACGCTCTCCTCTGGAAGGCTGGCAACCTCGCTGACCTGCCCGACCTGAGAATTGGCTTCTACAACTTCTGCCTGTGGAACGAGGACACTGGCTCTCTCCAGTGTCACCACTTCCCTGAGTTAGAGGCCTGGGGTGTGTCTCAGATTGGCCTGGCGCTGGCCAGGCTTGGCGTATACGGTGCCCTGGTCCTCACACTCTTTGTCCCCCTGCCTCTCCTCCTCGCCTGGTGCAATGGTGACAAGGGAGAGTGGCAGCTGGCAGTGGGCTTCTTGGCAATGTCCTCTGTGCTGCTAGCCGGAGGCTTGGGCCTCTTCCTCTCTTATGTGTGGAAGTGGGTCAGCCTTTCTGTCCTGGGGCCTGGCTTCCTGGCTCTGGGCCTGGCCCAGGTTTTACTTATCCTGTTACTTATGGCCACGGTTATGTTCCCTCCAAGGGCCAAGAAGGACAAGTGCCAGCTATTAGACCTATCTAAAGGCTTAAGTGATTGTGAGGGTTAGTTCTAACTACAGAGAAGGTGCCAGAGAACCCAGGGGTTGGCACATCTTCTCAGCCATTTTGTTTCATAGCTAATGCCGTTCTCAAACCCCAGCAGATGGAACTCTGCAAAAGGTGGGTCCCCAGTGTCAAGGAGACCAAGGTAGTAAGGGGCCAGGCCAGCTGTGGCTTCTTAGTGTAGGATTGCCTGTACTTCAGGACTTCTGCGGACACCCTAAAAGCACATGGCTCACTGCCACATGATTTCCTGCTTTATTTAACCCATCTGGGCAATTCTTCCTCTAGCTTCAGGAGGTAAAGATTCCTGTTATGGAGTCAGATTTGCAGGCTGATTTATAAGACAGCCAAACTGGAAATCAGTGAAGGTTTATGGGAACAAGCAGGACCACTATGAAAGGGCACCTAGTAGTAAGCCTTAGTTCCTCCCTCAGTGAGGAGTGGCTTGCTGCAATAAGCCCCTCACCAGGACTCCACCCCCATGGCCCAGGAACGGCTGAGGGACCCAACAGACAGAACACACATGGCATAAAGAAAACTAGGTTTGGAAGGTCCCTCCACAAAGGACGAAGCAGGAATCAGCTGGCAAGCATTCCTATCATTGTGACCCTGGAGGGAGGGGCAGGATGCTCCTGATCCTTGGGCAGGAGAGGCTGGACTGAACCAAATGGATCCACACACAGGTGCTACATCCCCTCACTTCTCCACCCAGAACTGGAAAGGACAGAAGCACAACAACTTGTGCACTGGAGAACTCTGTATTTTTTGGCACCTGTATGTTGGGAAACCTGTATGGCAACAGTTTACTCCTTCTGTGCCTTTCCAAAGCCACACTGAATACAGAGGCAGAAACTTGGACTCTGGTGTCATCTTTTGTCCTTAGTGTATGGTCTCCCAATCCTCTCGCACTTTAAACCTGCCCAGGAACCAAGGTAGAGGCTTCCAGGTGGAAGAGAGGCAGCAGCTCAAGGCGGCCTGTCTGGCTTACCAGTCTCTGGTTGGAAAGTCTCACCCTCCCAGGTGGAGCAGGAACTATGGGCAGCTCGTGTCTTCAAAGCTGGAGGTCGAGGGCCTCTGATGGGGAGGGATCATGCTACAAAAGCCTGGGAATCACAGTTATTCAGTAGCCATACTTTTCCTTGAAAATGATTGTCTCTTGGGTTCTTAAAAGTTGGACCCCATGACCTCATTTTCTCTACAATAAGACAGACAATTGGGATTCTATCCCTCTGTGCCAGGTGGGATGCAGTGGGAGGAGAAACTAATGGGAATTTGGTTTGGGTCCTCACTGTCACACTGAAAACAGCAGCCCCCAGGAGGCCCAGGGCACCTGGAGCTTCTGATCTAAGATGAATCTGCCAGGCCCAGGGAGGTGCAAAGCTGGGCACACAGGCAGCCACATCTGTACCCTAGGGGTGGGGGTGAGGGGCAACAGCGCCTCTTCCTGCTGCTCTCCGCAGAGAGTCCAGCGAGCTGTTTATCCTCAGCTGAAAAATATCTCCCTGACATATTTCAACACATCTTCCTCCTCCGCTTCCTTGGGGCTTCTGCATGTAGAGCTGGAAGTCCCCTGCCCCTGGGAAGGGTGGAGGCCCCAGGCAGCCTTGTCTTTCCCACTGTCCTCTTCCTCGCTGCTGCTCCCAGGAGAACTTGTGTGAGGAGACACAGAGCAGATGGGAGAGAGCTCCAGCTTATCAGCGTCCACCAGAGGTGACTGCTCCTGGGGCTTTTCCTGTTTACGGCACTGTGAAGCAGAAGAAGTGGCAGGCTCAACGTCCATCAGTGAGGCAGGACATATCCAGAAGCAACTGCAAAGCCAGTGTGCGACCAGGCCAGGCCCCACTCCCACCCCACTCCTCCCCAAACTCCTCAGGTTCTTAAACAACCAGAACCCACTTGGGAGACAAGCCAGCAGGGGTGTGGGGAACAGCTGAGCAGAAAGAAGAAACCAATAGGAAAAGGTGGCGGGAATGAAGGGTGAGAGCATGGAAGGGGCCTAGGCTACATCACAGAACCAGTGAAACCCCGGAGTCCCAGCTTCTTCAGGGTAACAGTATCTGAATTAGTAACCCCCAAATGTTACTGTGAGGATTAATGAGAGAGGACACTGTGTAAAAAGGCACATGATAAATAAAAGGTGCTGTCCAACTGTAAGGTGATCCAATGATTACTTCAGGAAGACAGTGACTTCCCCATGTTCTGCTAAGGAGAGGTGCAAAGGTCCAGAAGGATCTTGGCCAACTGAGACCCTTTCTGAGAACACAGGCGAACATTTTGTGTCCTGCCACATACCAGCACAGAGTCACAGTGCATGCTGTTCCTCACACACACCCAGCCCAGGTGTCTCACCCCACATCGGGGAGGCTGGGGCAACATGGCTGAGGGACAAGTGAAGGAACAGACGGAAGAAGCCAGCTGACAGGAGCAGAATCCTGACAGTGACCAAGGGCTGTGGCTAGTTTCTGTCCATGGAGTCTCCGGTCACAAGAGTAAGAAGGGCCACAGCTGACTGTACCTCAATCAGGATCCCCAGAGCCACATCCACCATTTCTGCTTCATTCATGCAGTACACAGTCTTCATGGCAGGAGTTCTGCAATACAGACACGAGTCACGAATGAGGAAGAGGGTCTCCAGGCTCCCAGGGGCAAGGAAAGGACAGCAAGAGGGCTGCATCCCAGGCCTCCCCACCAGGGATGAGCACAACAGTGCCTCGGGGCTGAGGAACTTCCTTGAGGCAAGAATATGACTTCCTCCTCCCAGTAGCCCAGCCGCTTGACCTCAGGCCCTCCCACCCTCCACCAACTCCCCATAAGGAGCTGGGACTGGGGAGGAGGCCGGCTCCTGAGAGTCACACCTTGAAACACACACACAGTGGATGTGAGCAGATGTGGGCCTTCAGGCCAAGACTTGACTGAAACAGACCTGAATGCATGAACACATTCAATCAAACACCCTGCTACAATCTCAAAGGGAGGCTGGCCAGAAAAGGAAGAGCTAGGAAATAGAGTGCTGAAGGCCTGGGCCTAAGAGTGGCAGGGATGCCCCAACCTGCTTGATGCTGGCACCCTGAAGAACTCCCTTCCCCACATTACCATCATTCAACTAACCCACGCACAGTTCCCGACTTCTTGCTGCACATCTGCCTGTCCTCAGAGCTCTCTTCACAGGAAGAGCAGGCACCATTCAGGAAGCCCGGTGACTGGTCCACTGGACTTGTCCATGTGATGTCATAATTTTTGGTGTAAATGTAAATAATAGTATTCTGACAACTGGCATTTTGGAGAGCTTGCTAGTATTCAGAAGCTACCTGTGTGGGTGCTGACAGTCCAGGCTCCAGCAGTGGAAACCTCAACGGCACAGGGCCAGAGGTGGGCACCTGACTGCAAGCTCACCTTCCTTTCTAAGAGTTCCAAAGTGTGGGAAGAAAAACCCACCCATCTCACTCTTTGCCAATTACGGCAGGCCCAAGGCCACTGAGAGGCCCTCCTCCCTCCTGAGCTTCCCCAGGAGCATCCTGACCAGAGGTTGGCTTACCCTGCTGCTACTGCTGGCCCTGTCACCATTCTTCTCCGCTTGGGGGTCTTCACTGGCACCACCCTCCTTTCAGACACCTGGGCTGTCATCCAGCAGGGAAGGACCCTGGTTTTGTTCTTAGATTTTAAGGTTTCCATCACTGTAGTTTCCCCCAATAAGGAGTCAGGATCTGAGTGACTTGCTTGACTCAGGACAGGACAGCAAATCTTACTCCTGTCACATCAGGAATTAGAGGCTTCATTTTTCCAAAAGTGCACCAATCTTTAATGCCTACAAAGAAGAACAAAATCTGGTAAGTTCTAAGCTAAAACACTTTCAGTCAGCCTGGGGCAGGCCAGAGATGACCCAGAAGGTCATCAGAGCCCAGGAGATGGGGCATTCTCAGCATGTCCAGCAGGTGTGGCAATCAAGACGATGGGTTGGGGAGACAAGCCCAGTGCCTTGCCCCAGTGCCCCACAAGTAGACACCCCTCACCCCAATCACCTCCCCTGTAGCCTCTGCATTAATGGAACCAGCACTCTTAGAGGAAGGAAGGAAAGGAGGCAAAGCCAGGTGATTTCTCCTCCTCCACACTGCAGGCTCTACTGTCCTCAGAGCGTCCAGCCAATCCAACTCCCAAAACATCTCCCATGATCTCTCTCAAATTTGCCCCAGGTTCCAGCTTCTCACTTCCTCTACAGTGAGAGGGCCTTAACAACCACCAGGCAATTCTGATTCACAGAAAGGTTTCATTGGTCACCCTCCCTGCCTTAATCTGAAGCTTCTTCTGATTGGCCAAATTTTAACCTGCTAGAGGGGTCAGGAAGTTTTAACTGCTTGGCTCCCCAGATTTGCAGAAATCAAATCTCCCTGGCCCCCACCAAGCCTCTGATATAACTTGGCTTCCCTTTCCCTACCCCGAGTTGATTCCACCTGGGCCTCTCCATTCTTAACATCAATCCCCACCTAGAAAAACCTGTGACTCACAGACCAGGACATAATTTTCCACTTAGGAATCAACCTAAGTGTTCCTAAGAACATCTAAGGGGCCGAAGTTTGCCTGAAAGGGGTAGTCAGCGAAGAATAAAACCCCTCTCTGAATCATAACTTGAAAATTTATTGCTCATCCAAAATGGCTGTTTACAATTTAGGAAAAAACCAGCAGGCCAGCATCTTAATCTACAGCCCAGGGGACAGACCTTGACCAATGTACTTTAATTTCTGTTTAAATTATTGGACGTTGATAGTCATTCCTCCCGTTTACTGAGCACCCAGTGCTGCTCAGTAGAAATTTATTAGATCGGGAGATGCATCATTCATTCCACTTTACAAACAAGGAACTGAAACCTAGTTAACGTGCACAGGTCTCAAAAAGTTCAGCCATCCAGGATCTCAGCCTGGCCTTGTAGATTGCCAATCCTGTGCCCGCCCTGCTTCAGGTTGGCAACGTCCCCTGGAAGCACGTTTGGTGCAGCTCAGTGCTCACTGGTGTCAGACCTGGTAGACAGACTTCAGAAAATCTCAGCCAAAGCCCCTCACTCCTTGGGTGAAAACGAGACCCCGCAGGAACGGGATCTGACAGCATTTCTCATCCGTAACTTGCAGCTCGCTCTTGGGGACCTTCCCCTGACTTTGCCCCTACTGTACTGTGCCGACCCACAGGAAACACGCAGGAACTCCTTGCACCTCGCGGACCGCGGCTGCCCAGACACGAGAGCTGGCGCGCCTCCTTCCGTTCCGCAGACGGCGCCTGCACTGGAGGAGCGCGTCGCAGCCCCTGCCCTTGCTGTACTGCCAGGTCTTGGGCCTCCTTCTAGGGGTCGGGAGCGAGTCCCGGAGGCGGATTCGGGACGGTTGTGCCAGCCCAGCTCTGCCCGCCCCTTCCGGCTACCGGGTCTTTTGGCGCGCGCGCGGAGGCCGACGGCGCCCCCTGCTGCAGCAGGAGAGGCTCTGTCCGGCTTTTGGAAAGTCAAAGTGTTGATTCCCAGGTCCCAGGATCCGAAATTAGTCGGAGGGAAGGGGGTTCTGTATTCTACAGCCCCGCCCGGGATCTCATGGGAACCAAGTTTAGTGCTCCCCACCGGCGACGCATCCCGGAGAAGGCGCAAGATGGTGCAGGGAGAGAAAGCAAAGGCTCTGTTCACATGGAGAAATCAAGTAACTTAGGAGTTACTAATATTTAACATTCAGATTGGCAGCCCAGGGCTTCCCTATGCAGAGACACGGGCGGCTCCATTTACCTGCCCAAGTGTGCTAGTTCTTTCAGCTATGCTGAACGCTATAATTAACAAATGAAGGTAGTCTTGGTTCAAATCACACTTGTGACTTCAGATAGCCTAAAAGAGGACTGAGGTCAGAGACCAACTGAAAAGACCAAGGCAAGCAGTCACAGGGGAGGTCTTCCTCTGCATTTGGGGGTAAAATACGGTCTGCCCCCAAATGAGAAATAAGACAGTTGTTGAACTGTGATTTCCAACTGGTCTGCTAATAACAGCACAGTTACTATTTAGAACGAGCTGCACAAAGCTTTGAGCCCCGTTTTCTGGACCAGGAAGTGCTCTTTTCCCCTAGGGTGACTTCAGTTTCTCCAGAGAACCTCCCAGGCTCTTCTGGAATGCTAATCAATACTGGGGAAGTGGGCTGGGTGGAAATTTTAAATAAATCTAGGCCTAAGAAAATAAACCAGTGGTCTCAATTCCCCTACCAGTCAGCCACTGTAGGGATCAACTTAGCTATGGTTGAACCAGGCCAGCCTCCAGGCTCTGCAGGACTGGCCACTGGGATATAGGCTTCTCTCTGACCACCACTAAGGCATCAGTCACTGACCTCAAAGGTCCTGGCTTTCATAGGCTGTGAGTCATCACAAATCTACAGGGCTGGAGTAGAATCACATCATTTCCTTTTGTGAATAAAGGAACAGAAAATACTTGCTCAGTAGAACTACCCCTGTACATTTCGCTCCTTAAAACCTCTCCACAGCCAGCTGGAAAATAGGCCTGTGTGTCTGCATAGTCTTAGTGTAGGGAGAGGCCCTGGATGGGCAACGAACCCAGCTATGAGATCTATAAGCACTGGCAACACCTGAAGCACATGGGGTTTGCTGGGTTTTTTTATTTTTAAATTGACAGATAAAATTATATTTTTGTGTGTGAGCTAACATGTAATGTTAATTAACTGGATTTAGTCAGTCCACATTGTATACACACTGTACTCCCAAACATTGAGCTTCGTGGGCATTTGAATATCACGTGGGGGCTGGGTTTTGGCCTGAGGCTTGGGGTAGAGGCACAGGCAAATACCTGAGGAGAGGGCAAAAGGAAATCAGATTGGGAAATACACCTGCAGGGCCCTCAGTGCAGGTCAGGGGTTCATGACTTGAGGCCTGGCCTGCCTCCATGATTTTCTTTTTCTACCTTCATGGAAGATAACAGTAGGGAACCTTGGGTCCTTGGGTGGAAATATGCAGGTGTTTTGAAGGAGAGATTAGTGTGCGTTTCCAATAAGCTTTGAGGATGAGCACTCTTCCTGGAGGTGGGCTGGGACAGGAGCACTAGGGGTTTGAAGTGTTGTGTTGCTGTATTCCTTAAACCATTTCAGCAAGCTGTGGGGACCATATTGAGAGGAGAGAAAGGGTCATAAGGCAGGAACTTTGAGATGAGAAGAAAAACTGGACCATGAACTCTCAGATGAAACTCAAGACCATTTAGACTGTCCCCCAGAATCCTGGGGTGAGATAGATTATTCAGATGTTTCAGTGCCAATGTGAAGACATGGCAGTGGAGAAGTCTTCACTTTCTTCATTTTAGAGATGGAAATAGGAGAAACTGGGTAACTACTTACCATGAAGTCTCTGGTGTTTTCTTGTAACCAAGCCACATGCATATCTCTCTCTACCTGTCCCTCAGTCCCAGCAGAAGACAGCCATTCCAGCCCTACTCCAGAACTGGGCGGGAGCCCAAAGAAGCTATAAAATGACTATATTGAGTTGCTGGTGGCAGCAATTCCCCATACATAGGTGACAAGGTCACCCTGAAAAGCATGGGAGCCCTCCAGGACCAGGCCCACCATTCTATGTTGGCTCCTGCACTTGCCCAGCCTCAGCTGCCACTGTGGGAGAATCTTCGTCTTCAAGGTGCCCAGCTGGGGAGTAGCAGGCAGGCCTCAGGCGGGGGCATGGTCACCATTAGTCCAGGCTCAGCTCAGACTTAAGTGGTCAGGCCTGAAACCCAGGGGTCCTTCTAGCCATATGGTCAGGGAGCTATCCTCTCACCACTTGCCAGCAGAGAGTAAAAGTGGCTGGCACTGTTCAACTTCAAGGGCATCAAGTTGGAAGAATGAGAGAAGCCACCAAATGAAGTGCTAGGAACAGCAGCTTCCAGATAAAACTGGGCCACCAGCAGCAGAAGCCTGTGTACCTGCTCTTGTCCAGACGGGCTTCTGTAACAAAAGCCACCACCTCTCAGGGAAGACAGAACACTCTGGCCTGAACTTGAGCCCAGGCAAAACAGAAGAGCATGCTGTGGGCCCATGTCCCACTCCCATAAAGCCCAGGTGAACTGATGGCCAGCGAGGAAAGTAAGAAAGACCTGGTGTGGGGAAACAAAGGCAGGGAGCCCACGGCTGACTATCATCAGGGCAAAGTGACACACACATCCTAAAAAGCGACACCAGGTGACTGCAAGAGCATTCTCTTTTTTTTTTAAGAAAAAAAAGAAGAAAAATAAGCAGAGATATATATATATATATAAAATACTGTCAATCTCTCCTGGGCCAACACAGCCCCCATCACTGTTTCTCCTTCCTGAGCTTTCCTCCCGCAGTCGGAGGATCCTTCTCAGCCCATGACTTTGTTCTGTGGGAAGAACATGCCACCCGCTCCTTAAGGCTCCTGTTCTAGTCACTGCAGCTGGACAGTCCCAAGCCCCCTGGACAGTCTTTGCCTGAAGATCTGCTGTACTGGCAGGGACTTGGAAGGGGTGTGTCCTGTTCTCCCCCAACACTAGGACAATACTGTTTCTGTGGTGTCACTTGAGGCAGGTCCTTCAGAGCTTATGGGCCAGGAGGGTGGTCAGCTTGATCTTGCCATCCATGGAGGCAGTGAGGCAGGTCCCACAGTCCATGGCAGTGCTCCAGTCCACAGTGACCACAGGGGCCCGGTGGCCACCCAGGCTCAAGCAGCTCTCCAGAACCTTCTCATCACCACCCAGCTATAAGAGAACAGGAGAGAGAATGAACCATCAGCAGACATCACTCATAAACACATCCATTTTATCCACTTTTGAAGGCCAAACTGCCTCGAGTCTGGGGCAGCCAAACACAAGGATGTGGGGAGAGCCACATAGCCACCTGTCCAGAAAGTGAACTGGGGAATGCCTCAGTTTCCTGACTACAGTTGGTCCACTTTATGTGGAAAACAAGTCCCTGCCAAGTTCCTTAAAAATGCCACTTTCTCTGTCTCCTTGACCATGCTGTGGGCCAGTACCTCTGCACCTGCCTGGTGTTGCCTCACAGCATCGTCTGTCACTCACTGACATCTGCTCGTGCCTCTGCTCATGTGTTTAAGGTTCGTTTCCCATTGCAGGGACACAAGCTGTAGGAGGGCAGGGTCTAGTTCTTTCCTGCAGTGTGGCCAGCCTACAGCACCCAGAATGGCCCTGGCACAGGAAGGCCTTGGATTAACGTGTAAATGAGGTCCTCTATCCCACCAGCACCACTATCCAGCAGTTAGGCAGATGGGTGAAGGGTCAGCTACTAACAGAACAGGAAATGGAAGTGAGTGAAAGTACTCTACATGGCTAAACAGAACAGGAGGTGTGAAGTGTTTGGCCTTCATGGAGAAACATTTGTAAAAGTGTCAATTAAATTGCTTATAGACTGTAAACTGGGACAGTTTTACAGTAGATTCTTTAAGCAATTGGAAGCCAGCATCAGTATATTAAAAATTTCACAGGAAAATCTTTCAACTAATTAATTATAGAGTGAATGTGACTGCAAATCACATAAGTTGATCTGGGAAAATGAAAAGGCTGTGTGATCAAAAATAAAACACACACACACACACACACACACACACACACACACACACACACACACACACATCTCCACTCAGAGCCAAGTCCGGTCCCCTGAAAACCAACCAGAGCAAACCTTTGGAGAACGAAATTAGGCTTGGAAACTGGAAGCTTTTTACCAGTATTTCCACTGAGAAATGCACAATTATGAGAAATTGTGTAGCTAATTTGTAGGGACAGCAAGAAACAGCAGAACAACCATCCTCTGTAGAAAAGAGGAGCCTTGCTGACTGTGCACATGTCAGGTCAGTCTAGAAGCCTCCTGATTTCCCACCC